TGGGGGGGCACCTTCCATCCTAAGGAGCTATAACTGATTAAAAATAGGCATAATTATAAGCATAATTATTGACGCAGACGTACTGTACGCGCACGTTAAGACGCGCTAACGAAAAATTAAGGTACCTGACATTCAACCTTGACCTGAAGTGTATGCCCATTTAATATGATTCAGAAATGATGAATGGTAAAGATGAATATGGAGTCTTCAATGTTTTGAGTAAGGAAAGATGAAGGGGGGGGGGGTTCTGAAAAAACATTTATTCTGACCATGATGACATCATCAAGTACAGTAGAAGTCACATATATAAAAAAAGAATTGTCTCAGCTATAACATACTCAAAGTTGAAAGACGATCGACCAAGGATAAGCGAGATACGCTCATATGCGTATTTTCGAAAATGAAGTCATCGATATAATACAGATTTATTGAATTCAGATGGCAATATGATGAAGTCACAATGTCCGATCAGCCATTATGATCTATAAAATCATATTTACAACTCATCTGCTTTCAGAATATGTAATAAAAATTGGGGGTTACTGATCATGCAAAGGAGCTATAACTGATTAAAAATAGGTCTGATTTTAGCATATTTGCACTGTATATCGGCATAAAAGTGTGCAAAGATCCCTATGTTTAATGCACGCATAACGTACGGCATTGCTATTGGCCATAAGATGACTAAAAAGAATGGAAATTTGTGAAAACAATGTCTCAGGAACCCAAAATATGAAAAAAAAAAACGTAATTTCTAGCTTCCCTACATGCTGCGTACGTAAAAATGCGCATGCGCAGTGGAAAATGTCAAAAGATTTTGAAATGCTCAAAATGGCGTGAAACATGCTCTAATTTAGTCAGAAAGTGATTTTGAGCATTTAAAAATTTTGACGTACACGTACAGGCTAAGACAATATATTCAACTTTGACCTGAAATTTATGCCCACTGAATATGATTGAGAAATTACAACTGGTTAGGATGATATGTTCAATAATGTAAAAATGCAAAATAGCACGTAGATGACGTCACGCATGACTGAGCACATTGAAAACCTTATTGTGACTATTCCAGGCCAAGACAAATGTTTGGTGAAGTGGGCTTGTGAGTTGCTTTTGGTAATTTTGAGATTTTGTGTTAACAGAATTGGGGAGAAAGAAAGAAGAATAAAAAAGATGATGAAGAAGAACCTGACAATAACAAAAAAAAAAAAAGAAGATAAAGATGATGATGATCCTGACAATAACAAGAGGTGATCCGCTCGAGAAGCGGATCACCAAAAAGATCTCAGATAATAACAAGAGGTGATCCGCTGGGAAAGTGGATTACCAAAAAAAGTTAAAAGTAAAAGTTCACAGGGTAAGACTACATGTCTTTATTTTAGAGTTTATGGTTTTTTGAAAAGTGTTGTTTTATTAAACCATGTTAATTTTCAATTTTTATTTATTGTAAAAAGAATAAATTAAAATTTTAAAACAGGTACTGCCACCTAGACATAAATGGATAATAAAATGTCTCCTGTGAAAAGAAAAACATTTTTAGTTTGGAAATAATAGTTACTTAGAGTTTATGGTTTCTTGAACAGTGTTGTTTTATTAAAACTCAAGGATAAATTTAACTGCTTGTTTACATTAGCATTTTGTTTCTCTATTTTTCCTCAC